TCTACATACCTTTCCCAACATGGCGTGCTACACTGGAGTCAGTTTTAAGTCTGAATAGAGCCAATGATTTCTTTGTTATTAATCCAGTTTTCATCTTAAGGACTAAATGACTAGCTCTTAACTGTAGATGCTAATTATGCTGCATGAGAACTGGAGGAGGCTAATCAAGGTTGCACAGTCAGAGCTGCGTCTAGACACCATCCATCTCCGTGAGCACAATTGGGTCTAGCATCTTAGAGCAATTAGAGTTTAGCATGAGCAACAGGGACAGCTTTAAAAATAAAGTGTATCAGTTAGGACTTCATTCAGTTCTGAAGACAGGAAACCCAAAAACAGTGGCTCAAACAGGTATGGGCCATTATGTTTCCACATGGTAAGAAGTCCAGATGTAGGAGGTTCACCGCTGGTGTTGCTACTCAAGTATGTCAGTCATGAATCAGGCTGCATGCATGTGCATGCTCAGCTATCTTTCATGTGTACCTAATGCCCTTATGGTTGGAAGACATGGCTAACTCTCCAGGTATCACGTTCCAGCTCCAGCAGCAAGGACAAAGGACAGACTTTCCTCCCAAGGAGGCTTTGTTTTCTCTTTTGCTTTTGTTTTTGTTTTCAGTAAAGAAAGCACCCTCCACCCCTAGTGTTTCTGACAACACTTCACTGGCCAGAATTGGGTCCCCTGAGCACCCCGAGTGACAGGAGAGTCTGAGAATTCAGATACTTAAATTTACAGTCCCTCTGGAAAAGAATGTCAAGAAAGAAATTGGTTGGAATGAATGTGGAGTGATCTAACCCTTAGTACTTTAATATCTGCCACAGAAGGGAACCTAAGCATATATATACATATGTATATGTATGTATATATTAATATATATATATATATAAATTAATATATATATATATATATATATATATTTAAATTAATTCACTCAGCAACACTTTTCTTACTGAAGGAGCTCAGGGAGAAAATGTTTTGGTGCAGTTCTGGGAGGGTGTGTTTGACAGTGCTTAATATCACCAGCACTGAAGGTAATAAATGTTATCCCTCTTTTCTATCATGAATATGAATGACGCTCTGAAGGCTGAATGCAACCTAAGAATTTATGTGAGAAATGAGGCATGAACCATTTTTGAAAATATATTAGCCCAAAGTCTGTATTACTGCATATTTTATACCCTTTTCAATATGCTACAAAGGGTTTGAGCCATCAACTGAATGCTGCCAGAAAAGAACAAACAAGAACAAGGATACAAAAATAAATGCTGGGAGTAGAGTTGCCCCCAAGATGTGCTTTATGGTTAGTGTAATGATCGCAGTACCGGCAGTCTGCTTTGCTTCAAACTCTACCTATCAGCACTTCTGCAAGCCCAGTTCTCCAGCAAGTTTGTCTCAGGCCAAGTAGTCAGAAATATTCATGGAGCAAAGTTGGCATTTGGGAAAGCATTTCTTAAACATCTGCCATTTGGTTCCTTGTACCTTCTTCTATGTCTAAGATCTTTCCTCCCATTTTGAGAACATGAAGGAAACACCTCTGTTGAGTATTTTCTGACTGGGAATTGAGTTAATGATTAAATCTTTTACTTTGTATATTTTTTATTGTCCAAAGTATATTTTCTAGGTATGGTCCTATGATCATTGTAACTACTACTATGTTTTACATATTATGAATTTCATCCCACATTAATGATATTCAGTAAAATGGCTAGCTATATGAAAATATTTACCATTAAGATATTCTTCATTTTAATTCTTTCTACTTTCACATACGAGTAGTTTTGAAAAGTTCAATAATCAATGTGCATCATTCCCATAATATGGAACAAAAATCAGTTTCAGTTTTCCCAAGGCGCTGTTTGTTGTCTTCCCTGATGAGACCTGAGATAAGTCTGGGCTTGTAAAGTGCAAATTCATGGGGCATGATGTCTGTAGACAAGCGTCCACCAATTGTCCTGATTCCAGAGTCTCATGGTTTCTGCACTAAGTATCTTCTGGAAACTTTCACAAAAATACCAATTTTGGGGCTCCAGACATGACAATTCAGCTAGACAGAGATGTGGCTCAGATGTCTGCATTTTTAATAAACACTCCAAATGGTTCTGATACAGCTGGTCTTGAAGCCATGGCTGGAGAAGCATTACTCTAAGTCATTTGCTCACTTGAGAGGCCACAGTCGGTGCCCAAGTCCATCCTTACGCCTTCCAGCAAGCCAGTTTCCCCATTCACATCAAGGTTGCTTCTTTTGAGAACGGTTCCCTCTGTGCTCCATCTTTCAAAGCGTTAACTGTTTCTACTTTTCCTCAGTCACAAGGAGTGCATACATTAATCATTTGCATAACAATTCCTAATAATTAATAATATTGTTACACTCAAGTATTCTGTCAGACAGAAAAAAAAATGTTTCTTAATTAAAGTTCAATTGAATGCCTACTATGAATGAGAAGAGAGAGATTAAAAATAAATAAGACCACCTCCTACTCCCAAACAAAGATATCTAGATGAAAGAGCTCCTGCATGTCTGTTACCGGAAATGAACACCTTCAATTAATCTTTAGTGAGACAAACTACATAGCACGATTGCATGGTTACCATTCTAGAAGAATCATTTCATGGCCAGTTAAAATATCAGAAAGATTGGTGTTAGAGTGAAGCTTTATCTCTAACCGCCTTTTTTTTTTTCTAAGAACTTTCTTTATTTTACATTATTTTTTTATTTCCAAGATTCGGTTTTATTTTTTTACCAAAAACCTAAAGATGGGTCTCTCTTGGTACAACACATGTCTGGGGAGCTCTTACTCTTAACAAGCTGTTATTTTTTTCCCAGCTATCAGACAGTGTTTCACTTAGATACTATATCTGAGACCTCATCTAAATTTAGGAGAATGAGACTGCATATTTCAGAGATAATCTGCCAGCTGTGCTTGTGAAAGTGTCATTAAGCCCTTGCACAGAGTAAGAGAAAGAGGAAGAGGAGGGAAAAGAGAAGAGAGGAGCCTCAATAACAAAATTTGAACTGTTTTGTTGTTCTTCATAGTAGTGTATGTATTAGCTCATTTAATTCTCACAGAAACCCTCTCGAGTAGGTAGTATTATCACAATTTTGTAGACACAGAAACAAAGGCACAGATAATTGAGGTAAGTTGCCAATGTCCCACAGCGAGGCTGTGATGAAGCCATCTTGAAGCGAGGGAGCCTGGCAATAGAGTTCACATTCTCAGCCACTGTGCCCTCCTGCTTCTCTAATCTTTTTTGTTTAAATTTATTGGGGTGACATTGATTAATAAAATTATATAGATTTCAGGTGTACCATTCTGTAATACATCATCTATATATCACATTGTGTGTCCACCACCCAGAGTCAGTTCTCCTTCCATCACCATTTATTTGACCCCATTTACCCTCATCTACCACCCGCCTCCCGCCTTACCCTCTGGTAACTACAAACTGTTGTCTGTGTGTATGACTTTTGGCTTGTTTCATTGTCTTGTTTGTCTGTTGATTTCAGTTTTATATCCCACATATGAGTGAAATCACATCGTTCTCGACTTTCTCTGTCTGACTTATTTCACTTAGCATGAGACTCTCAAGAATTTTTTAAAGCATCTCCAAAATTACAGCCATGAAGCTAAGTGCTGTAATGAAGGATTTCCCTTAATTCACCCAATGGCCATGAGACATAGTTTCTTTATAGACTGATTTTTACAGATGATGGAAACTGAGGCAGAGAGAGATTAAGGAAATTGTCCATAGTCACATAGCTACTAAGGGCCAAGGTAAGATTCAGACAAGGCTCTGTCTGTCTTTGAAGCTCTCAGCCATGCCCTGCAGGAGAACTCACCGGCTGACAGGTGCTCAGGCCGTATGCAGCCGTGTGCAGCCAGCCTCGGGAACACAGGTCTATCACCCTGGACGCTTCAGAACAGCCAGCAGAAACTGTGGTTGATCAAAAGTCATGGTCCACTATTTAACTCATTGGAGGGCCTCTGACAGCCTCAGAAGTCAGGCTGGATTTGGGAATCCGAGCTCCCTTTCGTCACCAAACCAGCCCCTCACAATTCATACACTATAGACCCCTTCGCCTATTGATCAATCTACTGCACTGAGGAATGGTAGTTCTAAATTTTCTAAGAAAACTATCAGAATGATTAAAGAGAACCCCATCACTGTCAGAAACATATTAAAAATCAGTTTAATGCCTGAGTTGGCCCTGTTGACACAGACACTGTTTTTCGTTACAGGATGAATAGCAACTCTCTGGCTGCCAGTTAATGTTATGTTGTTATTATTATTAGGGAGGCCCAAAGTTCAGGTGTTTTAATTGTTTGAACTTCTAGGCTAATTAATGCAATTTTAAAAGGGTTATGTCAGGAATCACACTATATGTTTTTATACCAAATGCAAGAAAACAAGCCATGTACCCCATGTTGAAGGTTGCCAGATGGTTCTAAGCACTCAGCAGATCTTGTCAGAGAAAACCCCAGTATATTAATTTAACAGGGTCAGAGTTGCTTATCAAAAAGCTGCAGACCATGATGTTTTGGATAATCAAAATGGTTTATTAACTCAAGTCATTTGATTTTTTTCCTTTATTTTCCAACTCACAGGGACATAAGCATATCAATTATCAAACAACCTACAATAACTAAACACAAAATAGCTACAAGGCTGTCTCAGTATTGTACACTGCTCTAACACATTATAGAACTCAATAATAAGATGATTCTCCCAAAATACCACATAAATGTTGATAATTCACATTACCTGACAAGAAATGCCTTGTAGTTTTTCTCCTTGAAGAGTATGTATGTTATTACTCAAAAGAAAATCATCTTCATTTAGATCTATCAAAAGAAATAAATATTATAGATATATGTATACTAATAGATTTTCAGAAATCATAGGAGTTAAGAACTTTGAGTGCAATTTCATACTCTTATTTGTTTTTAGTCTATTAAGATACTATATTGACTAGATCATAAATGTTTATTTTCTTTAAAATGTTATTCTCACTAGAAACAGATGAAAATAAAATAAAAATTTCACAAAATTAAAATAAAGAATGCCACTGATCAGCTGTGTACCTGCACAACCCATGGAACCTCTCTAGGACTCAGTTCCTCTGTCCATAATAAAAGAGTAGCATATAGATACTAAAGCCACTTCTAACTCCAAAATACTATGATTCCATGAAATTATCAGCTCACCAGTTTCTGTTAAACCAAGCTTTCCACCCCTGGCAGTTTGAGGTTTCATTAGTTTATGTCTTGTCAATATGAATTATTTATATTGAAATTGTTGTATGCATGCTTTAGCAAAAGCTTTGGAATGTGACATCAATTTGCTTGCAGCTAAACCTTTCAAAAGCTGGTAGCATTTCCCTTTCAAGCCCTGTAAAAGGGGCTGCATTTATTTGGCTCCATTTATTTGAATCTGGAATACACATGTGCTGAAAGAGGGTGAGACCTGGTGGATCACTTAACCCAAACCACTCAGTTTACAGGTGAGGATGCTGAGACCCATGGAAACCACTGGCCACAGGCCAGCCATTTTTCCTTTCACCTTCACACCCTTTTAATTGCAATCATTACTTCAATTTTCCACCATTCCTCACTCACATTCTCTGTCAGGGAGGAAAGGGCAGATAAGGTCTACCCCTCATGCTCGGTAAAAAATAAGTGCAGATTTTCCTTCAAATCCCCATCAGAGCTGTGGTTAAAAGATATGTTATATTCACAGCTTGGTCTCAGAGTTATTTACATCAGTAACTTAATATTTAAAAATCAGAAGAACCATGCTACAGGATTCTAGAAAATACTTGTTTTAAAATGAGCTAGCTTTAAAAAGGTGAAGGGATTAAGAAGTACAAGTTGGTAGTTATGAAATAGTCAAGGGGATATAAAGTAAAGCATAGAGAATGTAGTCAATAATATTGTAATAACTATGTATGGTGCCAAGTGGATACTAGACTAATTGCAGGTGATCACTACGTAAATTATATAAATGTCTAACCACTATGCTGTACACCTGAAACTGATATAAAATAATATTGAATGTCAACTGTAATTGAAATTAAATAAATAAATAAATAAATAAATATTTTTAAAGTTCCATAGGCAAAATATTAAAAAAACAAAAAACAAAAAAACCCAAAACCTAAAATGAGCTGGTTTTGTGATCTGGCTCTTTGAAGCAATATCTTCCATCACAGAGTCAGGATGTTATTATGGAAGCAGAATTATGGAGCTTTGTTATTATTTTTTAGTTTCTGTATTTAGAAAAATAAAAATGTTTTTCCTTCACTCCTTCATTTCCTTTCCATCTCTTCCTTTTTTTTTTATCCCTTTGACATGAGTTTTAGAGAGCTCCTTCTCTAATTATTTTTCTGGGTACAGGAAAAGAACAGTAAAGTCGTCACCTGTACTCTAGAATCTGGAAGCAGCTGAGAAATACACACAATGCATTTACATCATTCGCATAACAATGCATAGCAATAAAATGAGTGATTCAGACAGAATTATAGGGAGAGATCACTATGACCCAGAGTAGTTGTGGGAGAGACAGCCCATGAAAGCTTGAAAAATGGATATGGTTTGGAAAGGTAGAAGAAAAAGTTATGTTATAGTGGCAATGTTATGAACACTAGCCTATAGTGTAGTGTAAGTGGAACATATTTCATTAAGGGAGGAAATTGAGATTGGGCCTGGGGTAAGCAATTCGGAGAATAGCATAGGAGATAGGACTAGAGTAAGGAATAGGAGGTAGAGTAAATAAAGCCAAATTTTAATGGGCCTTCAGTGGTAGGTGGAGAAATTTGGACATAACCCATTAAATCAATATTACAAATATAAACGTCTACAGGTGTCAAACATGTAACTTGAATAAAAGAAGCGAATTTTGTCAAGGAGACAATGGGAGGTATGTGGTGAGCTGAAGGGCCGCCATTGCTAAAGGGAAGCCATTGCTCTCAGCTCTCAAAGGAAATCACCTCAGACTTTGAGTCCAGGATGTTTGTGTCTCTCCTGTTTTTCAAAAGAGTGTAAATGTACATATTGTGTCTTCGGAAAAGTCATGATGCATGTCTGCGACAGATGGCACTAGTTCATTTTTGGAAGTGCTAGAGTCATTCGTGTCTATTTATTGCTATGTCATTTGATAGCTGACAGTTGTAGCTTCATTCTAAAAAAAATTGAGCGATTTGGTTGAGTTTTGGAGATTTTACAACAAGTTGAAGATGGAAGACCAAACTGTGCATTTTTGCCATATTTTACTCTTTTACTTCCATAAAAGGAAGTACTTGGGTCAAGCTTGTGAAAAGTTGCATGAAGTTTATGGTGACAATGCTCTACAAGAACGTCGGTGCCAATGATGGTTCACAAAATTCCATGCTGGTGATTTTGATCTCAACGACGCTCCTTGGTTAGGGAGGCCCACTGAGGTTGATGACGACAAAATAAAGGCATTGATCAAGTCAAACCCACGTTATACAACACAAGAGATTGCAGAAACGTTGAACATCCATCATTCAAGCATTCACGACCACCTGAAGAAGCTGGGATACATAAGCAAGCTCAATATTTGGGTTCCGCATAAACTCAAAAAAGTTCATTTGACAGTGCATATAAACATCTGCAATATGCTCATTAAATGTGAGGAAAATGACCCTGTTTTGAAGTGACTGATAACTGGTGATGAGAAGTGCATTGTTTACAACAATGTGGTACGCAAACTGTCTTGGTCCCGACGTGATGATTTGCCTCAAACGACATGGAAAGCAGACATTCATCAGAGGAAGGTTATGCGCTCAGTGTGGTGGGATTTTAAAGGTGTCGTGTTTTTCAAGTTCTTACCAAAGAACCAAATAAACAATGTGAATATGTATTGTCGGCAATTGGGCAGTTTGAATGAATCCATCATCCAGAAACGTCCAGAGCTTGTTAATTGTAAAGGAGTTGTTCTCCATCATGACAACGTGAGACCACACACAAGTTTGATCACCCATCAAAAATTATTGGAGCTTGAGGGGCCGGCTGAGTGGCTCAGTTGGTTAAGAGCTTACTTAAAAGTGTGAGCTCTGAGCAACAGGGTCGCTGGTTCGATTCCTGGCCCAAGCTGAGCTGCCACTGAGCTGCCAACAAGTGGCAGGATGGCTCAGCTAAAAAAATAAAGAATAAAAAAAACAAAAACAAAAAAAAATATTGGAGCTTGGATGGGATGTGTTGCCACACCCACCATACTCGCCTGACCTTGTGCCATCAGACTTCCACTGGTTTAGCTCTCTTCAAAACTCCTCGTGTGGTATAACATTCAATTCAGATGAGGCCGAAAATCAGCACCTTGTTCAGTTTTTCGCCAATAAAGACAGGTCCTTCTATGAATGAGGAATTAGGAAGCTCACTAAAAATGGCAAAAGGTTATTGAACAAAACGGGCAATATATCATTGATTGATTTTTGTTCTTTATATAAAAAAATAACCTTTGAAAAATGTAGACAAAATACATCATGACTTTTCCAAAGACCTGATATCTTAATGTAAAATTTTCTGATTTCTCAAATATCATATGGCCCAAACAAGCTTTTTCTCAAAATAAATTCAGTTATAGAGTTTCCAGTTTGTGAGTTCTGTTATAGAAAATGGAAGACCTTTAAGGGTTTTGCCCTAAGGAAAGGACATCAGGAAAATGGAATTTTATGAAGATTAGCCATTTGTTTTGTGGTCTTATACATTTTTATTTATTTGTAATTGCCCAAATATTACCTTACAAGAGAAGATTTATAAAAGCAGAAGCAATATGGTTCTAAGTAGCAACAAAGTTGCAATAGTCTAATTAGTCAATATGCAGTTGTGTTTTCCAATGATGGCCACAAAAATACCTTCCATGTCACATGTTCTGCCATGTGATCTTGGTACACCTATATCAAGAAATGGAGTTCAATTCTCCTCCTATTGAATTCAGCTGGCCCTAGCGACTCTCTTGTCACAGAAGAATGCAGTGAAAGTAATGCTTTGTCACCTCCAAGGCTAGATCAAAAGAAGACTTGCAGCTTCTGTGTTGATATTTTGGAATGCTCACTCTCCAGACATTTTCTCATGTGATGTGTGTGAAGCTACCTCTCTCATCCCTCCCTCTCAAAACCAGCCCTTAGCCTGGGAGAAGCTTGGGTCACATGGAGTGGCCACATATTGGTTCTCCAGTGGCCAGTCCCAACTGAGCAGCCTTCAAGTTATCCCAGGACAGGTACCAGACATGTAAGAAAAGAAGCCTCTAGATGATTCCAGCCACCAGACATTTAAGTCTTCTTCCCAGAGGAAGCCTCAAACATTATGAAGCATGCCCCTGATGGAATTCCTGACCAGTAACAGCCATGAGCCTAATAAAATGTTGTTTGATGTCATTAAGTTTTGGGGTGGTTTGCGTGCAGCAATAGGTCATCAGAACATGCATAAACTACACACGTGGGTCACAAATAAGTGTACATAAACATGTACCATCTACCATAAACATCAGACTCCAACTGTTCCTCAAAAGGAGATGCAGAAAAAAATGGGATAAAGTAGTAATATTAAAAACAAACAAACAATGCGGGTATTTCTAATAAGCTTCTAGGTTATTTTAACAGAGATACTTCTGACTACACTCAGGTAAGTATGATCCTGGTAAGGACTCCCCATGAATTGAAGGAATCCCGATTCATTTGTATAGAACACTAGAACTCTAAGTGTTCTCCTCATTCAATTTGGAAAGCCTTCCTTGGAAATAAAAGAGGTCCGCTCAGCAGGCAGCCATTGCTCGGAGTTTATTCCTACATCATACGCAGATGTTCGGCTGTGAAATAGTACTTCTCTGTCATTCTCATAAAGTTCAGTCTAACCAATCTTAAATCACATGCTCCTGGGAAACAATTTTTAAATTAATTTGTAGTTCCTGAATATTAAACAGAATAGTAAGTACATTTGTGACTGTATATACATTTGCCATCTTGAAAATGAGAGTATCAAGCCAATAAAGAAAAAAAAATTAATAAAGTCTGGAAAAATTAAGTCAAAATATTTATATACTTACTCTGAAGAGGTTGGCCAAATAATAATATTGACTAGAACTCAAGAAAAAGGTTTTAAACCAATGGCAATTCAAATGTTAAACTGGAAGGCCTTAACATACATACATACATATATATATATATATATATATATATATATATATATATATATATATATGAAATAAATTGTATATGAAATAAATCTCATCAAAACAATAAATAGGATTTATTTTTTTAAACAATTTTGCATCAGTGTGGGAATACTCTTTTCATTACTAACTGTGTTTCCTGACCTTATCCAGTCCCCTCTTCCTTTACTAACATGTCAATTTTTTTTGCATATTTTCTGTGTTATGGAATGGTATATAGCAGTCACACTAACAAATCTCTAAGTCTCCAAACATGTTTTGTTTTCTTTCTAATAATTTTTTTTAAAGTTTGCTTTGTTTTTATTCTTTGTACTTTCTGGTATAAAATATGGAAACCCTGTTCTTAAAACTATCTTTATTTAATTCATAACTCAATCTTAGATAAATTCCAATTCATAGATTTCAAAGTTTTGTTCTTTCAGGTATACTTTTTCTTTCATAAAACTAAAGCCAAAATAAATGTAAAGATTTTAAAATTGATTTTAATTTACTAAAATGAATATTGTGAATATTCTGCCTGCTTATGATGCTAAAAATGAAACAATATGAATTACAAATTAATTTCCCTTGATATCTAAACTATGCCAACTTTTCAGTTGTAAAGTCCTGAGCACACAATTTATCCCACATTTATTTTACAGATGTAGTCCCTAAATAGCACAGATGTAGGTTTAGACAAAATTCTTTTTAGAAGAAGGAAATGGATTAGATAAACTAAAAATTTTATGCTTCTGGCACTCAACTTGTTCTAATAAATTTTGTCTTAACTGATATAACACAGTCATGTTATCTAACTATGTAAATTTCTTTATGGACTAAAACATCAGGTACAAATCCTTGGCTAAATATAGCATATGGAGATTTCTTTCATCAGGCCCCGAAACTCTTAAATACTGCAATGCTGTTAATATAATATGTGTCATATAGGAATACCATTTTGAAATTGAAATTGAGGGAAATGGCTTGGTTTTTTTTTTTTTTTGGTCTCGGAGTTTATAACAGATTCTTTAGAAGTTAATGTCACTCCTACCACTTATTTCCCTATATGTTTTTGTCTGTTTTATTGAGATGGTCTTTACAATTTCTCCATTAGTGTTCAATAAAACCATGGGCGGTGGATGATAGCAACAATGCACCTTCCAGTATTCATCTCACTAAACTTCGCAGACTGCCTATCCTCAGGCACAGTACACCACTCTTAAGCAATTATGCAATGAACAGTTAAAAAGTCGGGTTTAAAATGAGAAAGAAATATTATGGGTTGATAGGGAGGGCACTAATTGCTTAGAAATATTCTGAGCATTGGAAATGAAGCTACTCTACCCATAAAATTGAAGTCCACTACTTGTGGTCCTCCCTCCTCCACTGAATCTCCCTTTCAATTTACAGTGGCACCAATAGCCTTGGTCTCAGGCCATCAACTCTTCCTAGCACATCATTAATCCCAAAGAAATGTTCTATGACTCAGCTGCTACTGCTGAAATGTCAGCTAAACCTCTTGCACACACACACACACGCACACCACAGTCACTCAAGAATCTGAGAAACATCAAAGAATTTTTCTATAAAGGCTTTCTTTTTTTTTCTGACAAAACAGAGATCACTAATCCAAAGCACATCACCTAAGGTTCAAGATTTTTTGCTGCTTTTTCAGAAGTAGCTGTAATAGAATTACTTGCCTATTACTCTTAAATTAAAAAAAAATAGTTCACAAAAAGGTAGTTTTAGAAATTAGAATACTTGGTAGAGATTTATAACATAACTAAAAATAATCAATAACACAATTATACTTTCTTTATCCATAGAACAATATACAATAATCTAAAAATAATGTGTTTATTAAAGGGATAGCTGTATGGATGTATGACTAACCTACTGAGAGTGTGAATGAAGACAGCTGGCATCCATGAGGTGAAGATAGAGTCCAATCAAAACACGGCATTATTAAAACATTTCTTATGTTTTCATCTAAAGAAATTTAAATGATCCCAAAATGTTTTGCCTGTTTATTTGCTTATAATGGAGAAAATTGTAAATATTTTAAAATTTAGTTAAAATTATTCACCAAAATGTTATATAATCTTGGATAAAGTTAAAACATTTCAAGGGAAAAATGATTATTTTCACAAATAATTACTATGTAAAGCTAATAGCTCTGTGAAAAAAAAACAAAAGACAGGGCCGGCTGAGTGGCACTTTGGTTAAGAGCTGGCTTGGGATGTCAGAGGGCCACGGTTCGGATCCCACATATGAGGGACAGTGACACTGGCCTCTACAGCTAAGATGCTGAACAACAGCTCAACCTGGAGCTGGGCTGTCATGAGTCGCCAGCGACGGCTAGGCTGCAGTCCCCTGCTGCAGTGGATTGCCATGGGCTACTGTGTGTAGTCAGCAGCCAGCATGAACGGCCAGCAGCCGCAGTGAGTGGCTATCCAGAAGCCAGCAACTGATCTGCCTCGCCCGGGAAGAGAGCAATGGTGGTGCCAACTTGGGCAAGTGAAGGAATGTCCTCCACAACTAGACTGAAGAACAAAAGGACAGCAACTTGTCTGTCCCCCTTCCCCCAATTCCCCAATAAAAATCATTTAAAAAACAAAACAAAAACAAAAGGCAAAATCTGAACAGAATGTATAAACAAACTTTTAAACTAACTATAAAAATACACTATAATTCCCTTTATCCCAAGATATTAAAAAATATTAACTTTTTAGATTAACTGAAAAAAATTCTAACTATATCTGTGCAATTAAAAAAGATAGCACACTAAACTAAAACTAAAAATTTTTAATTGGAAACCCTTAAATAATCAGTGACTAATATAATCAAATATTTCTTATTCCAGCAAAACTGTAGAGAGAATACCAACTAAATCAATTTTTTATTCATCTTTGTGAACTCTTAAGACTTTTTGTTTTATTCATTATCGTCCCAAAGTTAAGTAATTTTAATTTTGAAGTGATTTATTATTAATACATTTTCTATATCTGGCTGATAATTTGTTATTGGGAATTTTTAAATTATAAAATGATACAATTTTGCATTAATGATCAAGATTATTTGTCTTAAATTTTTAAAGAAAACCTAAATATAATAACTGTTAATATATTGGTGTTATTTTAGAGGGTTTTCTCTATGTGCCAATTTTTTACTTTAAATTATTAAAATATTAAGTTATTTTAGACACAGAAATACTTTCAAATATTATTTGCAACTGATCCTTTGCTTCAATAGACAACTTAATTAGATTCCATTTCCTTTCTGTATATCTGTGTGTATCTACATTCACATGTATGTAGTCTATTAATAACATATACATTCTCTTCTATTCTATTTGTCTTTCCTTTTTAAGTAGTGTGCCCTGCTTATTTTAATTGAGAAAGATGTAAATTTTTCTTACCTGCCCTTTAAACTACACTAGGAAAACGCAAAGTCAGCGGAACTAAATTTAGCAATTACCTTTTAGCTGACAGAGTCTTCTGATGTGGGAATCATTGTCAGGCTTGCTGGATTCCTGCCAGGTGATGTCATTGACTGTTTTCTTTTCTAACGTAAAGCAGAGGATTGGCTAGCAGAATTCACAGTAAGTGTAAGAAATTTGAAATCAAAACAATCTCAGCACAAGGTGGTAACTTGGTGATATGATATGAGAGCTCTGTGGTCCATTCTAGGGAGTTCTAGTCCCTGATGAACACCCCCAGGTGTTCTTTGGGCTCCAAATTATTTCCATGAACTACATAAGCCCCCAAGCGGATATTGATAGCTTGTGATTATATTATTCTTTGGAGCATTTTTCTTGAATTAATAAACATTTATTTTGATGCATAAATTGAAGTATCCCCACTGTAGGAAAAATATAGCTGGTCAGGCTCCCTCACCTGGCCATCCCGTGGGACTACGGACCGCCTGGTCGAGGGGGTGGGATGAGTGCAGGCACCGTGCACTTTGTTTATGTACATACTTATATAAGTGCCTTGGCTGTGTGCCACTTTTGTCTCTGTGTACTATAAAACCTGGCCATTGTACCAGGTGGGTGGTACATTAGAGAGTCAGTGAATAAAGTATGTCTCTTCTGCCTGAGGCTCTCTGTATCTTCTTCCAGCTCCCAAAGGTGTGGGCACTCCCTGCCAGGATTCCCTCACCTTCAGACACCCACCCTCCACATTCCTCATCATTTTTAAAGAAATGATTAAGTGTGTAGAGACAACATGGAGGTGTGTTAGATTCAAGAAACTCTAAGATCCCTGAGTAGAAGAACCATGATTAGCTCAGTCTTGTCCTCCCAACACCTGGAGCAGGGCCTGGGCATGTTGTGAAGAACAGAACTGCACAGAAATGAAGAAGTGGAACCTTCTAATCTACTTGCTAAAGACTAATCATTCTACATGTTGTATCATAACATTGATAAAGTAAACTGTAAATAATGTAATCAAAGCATCACATAGAAACAAACTCAGCTTGCTGTGCTGTTTTTAAAGTCACTTACTGTTATGTTTGACTACAGAGAAGGCAGCTGATCATCAAGAATAATGTTAGGAAGGAAACATTTGTAGTCTTGTGTGTACAAACTGAGAATGCATACTATGAGAATGGCTCTAGATGGGAAATAAATTTTTGCTTTGCTTCTTTAAGAGTATGCACTTTTCAAATCAGGGCTAATATTCAAAATAGTTAACAACTAATTGACCATAGGACCTTCCCAAATGAGTTTAGACTCTGCCTCTATGGATGTTGCTATGAGAAGAATAGCAGACACAGACACCCTTGGAAGAGACATTGATCATCATCAGCTTGGTCTGATTGAGATTTTCAGAGCTATCCAGGAACCTGATTTTGAAAAGAGGGGGAAAGTAGTTTGAACATCCAACTCCTAGGTTCTTCTGAGGAGAAAGAAAGGAGAAAATGTATCCACAAGTTAGATGAGCTGTATTAAAAAATGAATTATTGATTGAATAATCCAAATTTTTTGCCACTGTGAATGTTTTATAATTAGTGACACCCTATATTCTGGAAGGGAAGGAAAGACATTATCCATTAGCTTTCAAAAGGTAATTAATAGAATTAGAGATTTACTTTAGATTTAAAATACAAATCAAGCCAATTGCCTTGATTATTACTTATGGATACTGTAATCACAGAAACTAAAGAAAAGGTCTAGGGGTTGAAATGCTGTGAAAGAGTCTTTGTAATCCAACCATTTTCTATTTCTTTATTATTAACTCCTAGGTCCATAAATCTGAAAAGTTACCTAAGAGGCCGTCTTGACCAGGTTAGCCAAGCTAAAGTTGGGAAGCTGGACAGTAATCAACTAATACATCACCAAAAAAATTATTTTTTAATATAAAAGGGAATTATTCTGAATAAATCAGTGATTTCTTTGTTTTAGCCATTTGAAGTTAGAATCGAACCACATTAAAATTTTTTTTGATAGAATTCAAAGACAAGACAACTTGATATGCATTAATCACTAATTGTTGTTTTATGGCAATAGCAGAAGAAAAGAACTTTTAGGAAAACAGAACATATCATCTGTATGAGTAATTTTATGAATTACTAACCAAATCCATTGTTTTCAGACATAGATCTCCAGATTGACCTAGAAAAAGAGAATAAACAGATATTAAGCCTATATTGAATAAACAGTATTTCTATCAAACAGAAATTAGATCATGTAGACATATGTGCAATGCCTTTAACAGGGGAAATAAATTCTACCTCTAACTAAGGTCTACATATGGTCCTGAATTTTTCTGACCCTAGATAGCAAAGTACAGTGAATACAAGTATAATCTTGGTCTGGAAATTTCCATGGAATATGGGGAAACTAACATTCATTAAAAAAAAAAAAAGACTGGGCTGTTCTACATGAATGTATCTCAATGTAATCAAACAGTTAATATGGAAAAGTTCTTTTTCAAATAATTATGTTCAATAAATACAGAAAGAATGATGCAAATTGAATATAAACATACAATCCCCAAAACAATAGTTCTGGGCAATAATCACCAATTGCTCTTAAAGCTTTTAATTGAAAGGCTAATGGGTAACTTTGTGCCAGATAGATCAATCTGATACCTTTGAACCCACTAAGCAATTTCAGTCACAAAAATAGAGATGACCAAATAAATATATGGGCTTCCAGTGTAATGCAACAGGAAGTATGAAATAACGGATGAACTACTTAAATAAATATATATATATATATATATATATATATATATATACATATATATATATATTACTTGAATCTTATTAAGCCTTGAGGTCTAACTAAAAATTTACAGGAAACAAAGAAGACAGAAGAATATATTTTTTGAAAATACAAGGATGCAATCAACAAAATTAAAAAATATGGAAAATTCTTCAGAATTAACAATCCAGTTTCATCAGTTAATAAATCGAGAGAGAGACATATTAAGAGACATGAACCAAATGCATTGCGTGGGTATTGTTTGGTTCATGATTCAAATAAGTATAAAAAATTACTTGAGGCTATCAGAGAAATTTTAACATTGACTGTATATTTGGTGATATGTCATTTTTCTTATTCTGTGCAAGTGCAGTTGTGGTATTGGGGTTATGCTTTTTTAAGTTCTTTTTTTCTTAAAGATAGATATTGAAACATTAAAATATATGTCTAAGATCTGCTTTGAAAAAAAAACAGTGGGGGTGTGGGGGAGTGGGAAGTCGAATGGATAGAGATGAGATAAGATTGACTATAGGTCAATCTCAAACTTGTTCAGACTTGGTGATGTGAGTTCATCACTGTATAACTGAAAATGTGTATAACTGAATTTTCCATGATAAAATGCCTAAAACAGGAACAGAAGATAGGGCTATGCTGACTCAACCACATTAATCAATTTATGTGTTGGGTGAACACACACATATCCTGTACATATAACTAACTTTGTTATAGCTTGAGTGTTTTCCACTATTTATATTCTGAGTAGTCAGTAAATCAAAGCCAAGTCCACCTTTTTTTAAGCTTAAGGTGGTAAGCAAAACCCTACACATACGAATACAATGTTTCTTCTTTTCTTAACCATTTTATTTGGGTTTGTTTTTAAATTTTTAATGCAAAACACTTAGGACCGCTCTTGGCAAATAGCAAGTCTTCCAAAAAAGCTATTTACAATATTATAAAGTGAGGTAGGTGCATAACAACATGGGATGTTATTCCCTTCAGGGGAGTGGTACACACAAAAATTGAGGGATTCCAAAAACTCTTCACTTTTATTTTAACCTGTTGGAATCTGAGGAGCACATTAATGGATTCGGTTTATGTTTGAAAAGTCCTAATTCAGTCAGCATGAGGTATTTTCCCTTTCATTCATCTGCTCTTTGCCTCTCCATGTGTTGGTATCCTTGGATCTGTAGAAGAATCAATCATAAGTCATTAGCTGCCATTTTATTTAAATATTTGATTTGGAATTAGTGAGTTCCTTATCCATGGGTAGAATAAACAGTTATATAGATGGGGTGATTTTTAAGACTGAGAAGAGCCCTGAAAAACACAAACAAACAAAAACCTTCTATACTCCAGCTCATGTTTAAAATGCCACTGGTGTAGTTTAAGTAGTTAACTGTGGCTAAAATACAACTACCCTTGACTAGCAGGTGCTCTAAGCTGTTAATCATGCAGTTACCTACTTACTGTGGATACATTTTATATCCTTACCGGGAGAAAGCTTTGAGCTGGAAAGGGAGGAAATATAAGAAAGCACACAGTGCTTGGGGGAGCAGGTTGTGAAGCAGTGAGAGCAGTGGTTATTGGAAAAAAACAAACAACAACAAAAAACTGCATTCAGAGTTCAACATATTATCAATTTGCTCTCAGACGATTCCTGAGTGCAAAAAAGACATTCTTCTGTATCATCAGCAAGCAGTCTGGAAATTTCCTCATAAACCACTTCCCGTCCCTATGTATTTCCGGCTTATTAGTTAAAATCCTATTACCTATGCAACATGTGTGCGTCAGTCACCTGCTCTATCATCCTGATGTGCTGAATGTAAAGCCAAGCCTGACCTAAATAACCCAAATCTCTTTCCAAACACATTTTTATTTGGATTAGAACTCTTCAGAAGATTAATAGGTCACTGATAGAAACATTTTCAAGTAAGCTCCCAGTTTAATCTGACCCTAGTTGAAATCTCCTGAAAATTTAATTTTCACATCGCTGTCTATAGGAATGTCACAATATAGGTTTCCTGTGCATCAGCATAAACAGATAAATGGTAGCAGAGTAAAACATACCTATATTTACACATGACACCTTATAAAAAAGCACATTGACAGGAAAACCACTAAAATATTCCATCTCACATTACAGAAGATAACACAAAGTTTTTAATGTAAATTTTACTTACTTTCTTTTTGGTTTTACAGTTTTGAAATTAGAAACTTCCTGTAAAATAAAATAAAAAATAAAATAAAATAACACTACCTCAAAAATCAAAGAGGATTCAAGTATAGTTCATTTTCGTGTATCATTCAAGTGTAGTTCATTTTGCCTTCTCCTAGTAAAATGGTTGATGTTTACCCCTTGTATTTTGATAATATATCATAGAATCTTGGTTCAAGTTTTTTTTTTCTCCTTTTATCTTGGCAATGTTGAGAAATGTAGAATGCTTCCTTTACTAACCAGGGCTTATGCTTTATTCTAAGCCCTTAACAGTTAATAAAGCAAGTCTTTAAAAAAAAAAAAAGCAACAACAACTAAATCCTCATGATTTCAGCTTTCCATACCCCATCAACCCACCAAGACCAATGGAAGAGATACATACCAGATTAGTTACATTATATGTTACCTTTCTTTGAAAAAGATGGAAAGTTAGCCTACTACAATACGATGAGTGTGTTGAAATATACCTGTGATTCATCTGGCATTTGTCTTCAGAACAACTGAGAGTTGTGTAAAATCCCTTACGCTTTTGGGGGAAGAATACATCCTCACATCTTTCACCATCCTTAAAAAAGCTTAAACTGCTCACAGGCACCCTTAAGAACTCTTCAGATTCTCTCATTATCATTCATTCACTCCTTCATTTTAAAACCATTATGTTTTTGATGTTCCAAGTGCTTTTTGAACATCTTCTATATGATAGGCAACAGGACATGTTCTGCAGAGGTTTGTTTGGCATCGTAAGAATTTATGTACTAAAGAATATTGAAACCAATATCCATATAGCAGGAAAAACACAATGTAAAGGCTGGGGGGAGTGGTGAATGAAAATCAGAAAAAGGAAAGTTAGTTTTATTATTCCAATAGTTGATATTATTAGTCTGAACACTGTCAAATCCAGGATAGCCTTTCCCCTACGTAGTAACTGAGGGAGCTGTTTCTCTAACTTTTATTGTGTTTTTATCAAGATTTAATTCTCAAGGAAAATTTGAATGACCTATCTCATGCTGATGAGTAGCGCATCACTGAAAACCTCATATGCTGAAACAATCAGCCCCTGAACTTGAGGAACAAATTTTGCCAAATTAAAATGCCTGAGATCACCCAGAGGATAATGTCTAGTAAGAGGCAGGTGGGGGTGGAGGTAAGGGTAAGGCAGTCATGAACCAAGTCCTGAGGTGGGTTGGGATATAAACAGAGCTTTGAGGAGTTAAAGGTTATACTGACTGCTCCTTCAATTCTGTATGCTTTGTCATCATGTGTCCTAAAAATAACCAATCTCTATCCATGGTCTTTTTATGAAATTCTTTTAGTCTTGGTCTAGATGTTTCCAAACCTCAGCCCAGAAGCTAATTGTGTCCCTTTCACCACAATCAGCAGCCACACCAGCTTTGTGAGGATCATCAAGAAAGAGGATGGCCATCCACCCTTGTAGCAGCATTTCCCTGCCATGTGGATTTGGAATATAGCTAGGACAGGCAAGTTCCACATTCACATAATCTATGCATCTGGGCCAAATATGTCTCAATAATGAGAGTCCATGGTCCTGATTCTCATTAATTTGTTGTATGGGTTTGTGTAAATCTCTTTGGATTGAGAATCTTGCACTCTTCAAAATAGATTCTACCTCTTTTGAGTATAGAGAGAAGCGATGTCTAGCCTAGAGTTAACCAGCACAAAAGGTGGATTTGCAATAACAAAGATAAGAAACATTAACTATCTTTTGTATTTTTAATCATTCCAATCACAGTACAGTTGATCCTTGAACAACACGATTTGAATGGCATGGTCTACTTACGTGTGTGTGTGTGTGTGTGTGTGTGTGTGTGTGTTTTCAGTAAAAACAGTATCTGTGCATTTCCCATAGATGGATTCAACCAACCATTAAAACAGTATTTCATTCTTGGTTGGAACTCTGCGGATGTGGATGGCTGATTGCATGCATCGTTCTACATTAATTATATAAGAGACTTGAGCATCCTAGGATTTTGGTGTCTGCACCAGTAGTGGTTGTCCTGGAACCCTCTATGATACCAAGGGCCAACTATAGTTAAGCTTTGGGGGAGTCAAAAGTTATATGTGGATTTTCAATTATGCAGGAGTCAGTACACCTATACCCCGTACTTTCATATCAACTTATTATATCAGTGATTCATTGTTTTTGCTACCAATGAGATTAATTCCAGAGTTCTAATAAAACGTGTGTACATTTAAGCCCCAAGTATCTGAATTGGGTCAAGGAGCATATTTTTCAAGCATAGTCTTCTGCTTCACCTGGGTGAAACCTTGGCTAAATGAATACAATCAGGTGTTGGGCTCACACAATACTGGTTAAATACCTGTGGTTGCAGATTATGGAGAAAGAGACACAAGTTACTTCTGGGCTGAGGGTTGGAGACATCTGGACCAAGACTGAAGGAATTTCATGAGACCATGGATAGAGATTGGTTATTTTTAGGGCATATATTATCACAACATTCTCTAGGGACTATCTACTTTGTTCTGTTTTACTGGAATCCAAGTCATCCAATTTTTGCTTGTAATGAATCAGCTTAGGTTTAGAGATCTTTGATTAAAGAGTTTTCTAGTAATGAATACTTTGAAAAATACTTTGAGCTAAAACTTCTTTTTAATCCCTATTAAGATGAAAGAGTGAATGTGTTTCTGCTTAGGCAAACTGCTTCCTAAAAGAGGGTAGGGAGAGAGTCAAGTACATTAAATGCTTGTCTGAAGTGTGATTACATGAAGGTAAGGATTGCTCAAATAGGGCAACATCTACAGTAAGGCCCCGATTTATGAACGAGTTCCTTTCCGAAAGAACATTCATTAAGTCAGATTCGTTCCTAAGTCCAACTTGGGTGCATGATTGGCTGCATCTGTGAAAGTTCGCAACTAGAATGTTCGTAAGTCGGGGACTTACTGTACTTAATTAGACTACTATACCTGTTTCCTGGGTGTTGCCTAGTTGTAGATTATTACTGAACTGGCCAAGCAGTTTTAGTACTGCTTATACCAGAATCAAAGCATCTATTTTCAAATTCTGACGTCTGCTTACATAAGCAGACTGTCATATCCTTCAGATTTCAGACCCTGGGTTCTTTATTCCTAGAGGAGCAAGTCAAAGAAAGGCTATATATAGCTTTATTTTTTAGAACTATATCTATGTGTTTGTGTGTGTGTGTGTGTGTGTGTGTGTGTGTGTGTGTTACTCTGAACTCCTAAAAGTAGATATCGTTTCAGAGAGTCAATGAAATAATTCTGTCAAGTCCATTAATTTGACACTTGCCATAAATACCAGGCAGCATCTGCTCCTGTTAGCCTTTATTTCATTATCTCCTAAATCAAGCACTAATCATTAGTCTTGCTTTTCATTCACTAGGGAGTTTGTGGCTTGATTTAATTTTAACCCCTGGCAATTATTAGGAAAATAAGAAATGAAATGTAGGCAAATTATTATGAATGGGCTAGTAGAAACTAAAGAATACGCCCAACCTATGTTGCTTGTCAAGTAGATAAAAGTAAGCTCTAGGAGCAAAGCATTTTCACATCATCATGAAAGGAGGTAAAAGTAGGTCAAATTAAAAAACACAACTCGAAATGAAGAAAGAAGATGCCATTTAAAAGAAGAGAGAAATTTTGAATACCAGTTGCCATACTTCTATTCTCATGCACTGGCTACAGTGGACTGTCCTTTGGGCTTGCGTCAAATATGTGCCTGTTTCCTGTGTTATTGGTTTGATAAAAGTGAACTGGCATCTTAAGATGCTTAACCATAGAGCTGGGAGGACTATGGGTGGAGCTGGGCCCTTGGTAACTCTGTAGTCCTGACTTCCTATTAAAGTATGTGGTAAATTCTGGGGGAGGGATGTTAATAAATAGAATAGCCATCTTGGGGCCCAGTCTGCTGCTGCTTCTCCACCTGGGCAGCCAGTTGGAACCCTGGGTCGCGGGTGTGTATTCCCGCACTGCAGTGGTGGATTTTGTTTCTTTTTTCTTTTCCCGAATAAAACTTTTTTTGCAGATTATTTGGAGAGTTATTTTTGCCAGTCAACAGGTTTTTAAATTTTACTTTCAAATCACAAAGTCAAAAGAAGCAATGAAGTGAATATGTCGGGAGTTGTTGCCTAGCTAATGGAATATGAAAGTGTTTCTGCACGAGAGAAAATTGATTGGCAGTAAATGATGGTGTATATCCCATGGTGAATTTTTAAGACTGTAGAGCTGATGAGATCTGACCTTTGATTTGTATATGAATAAACTGAGGCACACATGGAAATTGACTTGTCTAGGGTCATGCATATAGTGGTTTACCTTGATTAAATGCTAGTCATTTATTTCCATTCTAATACATTCCTTTGGAATTATATAATTCCTTCTTTCATACATGCACAGTTCATTGAGCAAACATTTACTGAGCATCTACTATATACCAGACACTGTTTAAGATGCAAAGAAGAATTACAGGTGTGACTTCTCTCAGGTATTCACTGTCAATGGCTGCTGATCCGAGGATCCTTCTGAGTTCCATGATTTTCTCAACTTTCAAAAAATCCTTTATAAAGTCCTTATATGAATGCCAAACATATTAAAGATACGTATAGCTGTTATTTCTCATTAGATTTTTTATTCATTAAGAGTTACATAGGGGCTGGCCGAGTAGCGCGATTGTTAAGAACTGGCTTGGGATGCCAGAGGAACCCAGTTCGGATCCAACATATGAGGGCCAGTGACACTGCCCTCTATAGCTAAGATGCTGAACAACAGCTCAACCTGGAGCTGGGCTGCCGTGAGTCGCTGGCGATGGTGTAGGCTGCAGCCCCTGCTGCAGTGGGCTGCCATAAGCTACCATGTGTGGCTGGCAGCCAGCGTGAGTGGCCAGCCGGCAACCAGTGTGAGCTGCCAAGAGCCGCGATGAGCAGCCGTCAGAGGCCAGCAACCGATCTGCCTCACCCGGGAAGAGCGCAATGATGATGCCAACTTGGGCCAGTGAAGCAACGTCCTCC